TCAAATTTTCATTATTATCTTTCCAATACAAATTCGCCTGAGAATATTTGTTACAACGTTGATTAGAAATTAATTTATATTTATTTTATCATTACGAATAAAGATTCTCAATACTTTAAAAATTGATATCGATCGATCCTCTACACGACTCTAACAAATATTCCTCGACCTACTTCTCCAATCCATGAAATATCAAATATATATATATAATATAAAACGAATCTTTAATTGAAGAAAATGTAAAGAAAATGTACTCACGATTACGGTCGTCCGTCTGATTTCTCTTGTGCTGCGTTTTGTGATGATGCCCACCAGGAACAGGTATCTGCTTCATGGCAACCAGATCGTGGTGATCGGCGTCGATCAACGGATTCTCGAGCTGGGACTCGATCACCTCGAAGCTGGTCGAGTTGTCCGGATGCGAGATGACCTTCACTGTAAACGAGCAAACGTAACGGAGCATGGAGAGGAAAACGTTGGCGCGTCTGGAATCGTCGATTCTAATTCCCGACACCCGCAAAAATTGTTCGTTATCGCGCGAGGAAATCGTCGAGGAAACACGTTGATCTCGTTTTATCGTCAAATCCTCTTTTAACACGCGGCGCGATATTAACAAGCTTCTTCAAAATATTGCAACATTGTCCCGTCGAATTCCCTTCGAATAGAAACGAAATTGGCGAAACGTTCGTTGCCGATCGATCAACGGGGCCAAGCACTCGCTAAAGTCGTTCCCGTTCAAATTTTAACCGAGGATTTTTAGCTTTGGGAGGAATTTTTCTCCCCGGAAAACATTGCGCAATCCGATATGATCTCCTTTACAGCGGCTGGTTTTGAAAGCAGCGAGGTGTCGATGGTGAGAACGCGGCAGTGGATTTGTTCGAAAAAAAATCGGATCGATTACATCTTCGAATTTCCAAGCCTCAGCAGCGAGTCTTCCCGACAACTCGATCCCTGCATACCTTCGCGTATCCAGTCGTTGTTAAAAAGTAACAAATGTCGCGCATGAGAAGAAATATGCACAACGAGGGAGGGGAGAAGCAATATGAAATGTGATTGTTCGAAACGATAAAAGACTCGTTACTTTTCGCGTCCCGATCGATCGATCGCGAAATGGCGGAATTGGTGCGGAATCGACGAGGTGTCCGCCTGGCGCACCTCTGTACGAACCGATGTACGAACCTTGGTCGACGAACCCTTCGAAGGCCTCGCGGAGATCGAAGAGCCGGTCGACTGGT